TTTTTTTTTTCTTGAAAAAATAGAATCGAGTTTATTGTCAATTTTTGTGCTTTTCCTTAAGATTTTATAAACGGGTTTAATTGGGTGAATATACTGTAGAAACCTTCCTTTAAGTGAAATTAAACACAACTTATTATTTATTGTATTTATTGAGATGCAACCATGTTTTGGAATGAAACTCGTCACTACATTGATTGCTTTCAACATTGATTGACATTCATTTAACCCTTAATTAATACCGCGTGGTATATCCAAAATGCTAATTTACTTTATGTAAAGTATTTTACCTAATATGGACTAGTATAATTTAGTAAACTAGATAAATAAGAGCTAGAGAAGATTTCACTCTGTTTCGGTACCAATTACCTTCTAAAATAGTTGTATTAATATATCTCCTCCCTTAACCAATATAAAAGTAAAGTAAAATCAATCAGGTAAAAATAATATAAAACAAGAACAAACGTTAACTTCGGTTGCACCGAAGCTATAATACAAAGCCAAAGCCTCCATACAAGGACTTGATTGCGATCGTTCAATTTGTATGACAGCTATATGATATAGTGATCTGATCTGAACAATTTCTGCGGAGAATACATTGTTGTCTTAAGCAATAACTCATGCCTAATTTCGTGAAGATACCTCGTCAAATGAAAAAGTTTTCCATGAAAGCACTTAGTCCGATCGTTCAGTTAATATGGCAGCTATATGCCATAGTCATTCGATCTCTACAATTTCTTGGGATATTGCATTTTTGCCTTAAATAATAATCCATGCCAAATTTCGTAAAGGCAGCTATATGCTATAGTTGCCCGATCTGTACAATTTTCACGGAGATTTCACCGTTGTCATAGACAATAAACCATGTCAAATTTCTAGAAGATATCTCTTTAACTTTAAAAGTTTTTCATAGAAGATTCCGATTTTTCAGTTTGTATAACCACTAGATGCTAGTCAAATATCGGCGATTCCGACAAGCAAGCGCTTGTTTGGAAGAAAAGAACGTGTGCAAAATTTCAAAACAATATCTCAATAACTGAGGGACCAATTCGCGAATATACAATGTTTGTTCAAAAAGTATCGCGAATTTTGTATTTCTTAAGAAAGTCTTTATTTAATCATGATTATCTATTTTGTCCCCTTCAAAGTAATCACCCCTATATATTATATAATATAATGCAATTTATTTTTCGACTCAGTTTCGTATTTGTAATTTCGATTCTGCAGAACTCTCTACGGCGGCTTAGTGGCTCACTCTTGATATTATTCCTAATTTGTTGGTATGCAAAGAATAAGAAGAGAGTTATATTGGAACTGTTACAGAAACGACAAGCAGTGCGCGAGCGAATAATGGCCTGCCGACGTCTGTTGTAAAATTATTATAAAAAAAAGCAAATAAATTCACCATCCATAATATATTTTCAAGAGTTACATGGCTCATGGTGAGCCCTTTTTTGTTCTAAATTTCAATAGATACATTGAGGAAAGCTTGATGTGCTTCACAAATCTTTAGATTTTTACCTAAATCATCAAATCTTTCTTTCTCATTTTAACAAATTCGTCGCAAATATAGCAAAATGAGCTGGCGTCACCTTTACAGCTTCTTGAAATCAGTTTGTATCGGTTGTTATAGGAAACAAAATTATGAAACACATTACAGGTATTCAGAACGAACATGTTTATCTATTAATTCGTCAGTTGATACTTCGTTAAAAAACTTAACTGTGAACATACCTTTTGCTCCATCTCAATAGTGTGGTATATTTTGTTCTTAAATAACTGATTCAATTTTATTAAAAACTTATTTGTGAAAAATTTTTCTAAAATTATTTTTAGCGCGCAGAAAATGTATTTTTTCACAATGAATCACATGAACTTTTTAGGCAACACCGCTTAACACATAGCTGGTATTTCGTCACTCGGTAAAACGATAGCCCGTTAATTTTACACAAACAAAATGCGCATAAAGAACTAGCGAATATTGAATTAACAAAGCTGGTGTGAATACCCCTATTATTAATTTGCAATTGGCAAACACATACTATCGTACACAACGAGCGATGCAGGCGATACTATCTAAGTGTTTTCTTAAGTGATTTCATCTCAAGTGTAGACTTATATAGGTATATAATTACAGTATTTACTAAAATTCCAAAAATCATAAATTTATTCAAAGCAAATGCAGCTCAAATCATAGTCAGACATTTTTGCAACTGCTATAGTTATAAAACTAAGTAAAGGCAAATTTCATTAAGGAATAAAAAAAAGAGAAAACGTTAACTTCGGTTGCACCGAAACTATAACAGCCTTTACAAATACAACGGCTCCTTACAAGAACTTGATTCCGAACGTTCAATTTGTATGGCAGCTATATGATATAGTGTTCTGATCAGACCAATTTCTGCGGAGAATAATTTGTTGCCTTAAGCGATAACTCGTCCCTAATTTCGTGAAGATACCTCGTCAAATAAACAAATTTTCCTGGCAAGCACTTTACCCCAATCGTTCAGTTAATATGAAAGCTATATGCTATAGTTACCCAATCTATACAATTTCTTTGGCGATTACATTATTGCCTTAAATAATAATTCATGCCAAGTTTCGTGAAGATATCTCGTCAAATAAAACAGTTTTCCATACAAGCACTTCATTGCGATTGTTAAGTTTGTATGGCAGCTGTATGCTATAGTCATCCGATCTATACAATTTCTTGGGATATTGCATTATTGCCTTAAATAATAATCCATGTCAAGTTTCGTGAATATACTTTGTCAAATGAAAGAGTTTTCCATACAATACCTTGATTCCGTTTGTTCAGTTTGTATGGCAGCTATATGCTATAGTGGTCCGATATCGGCCGTTCCGACAAATGAGCAGCTTATTTGTGAGAAAAGGACAGGTGCAAAATTTCAGATTGATAGCTTAAAAACTGAGGGACTAGTTTGTATATTTTCAGACATACGGACATGGCTAATTCAACTCAGCTCATCATGCTGATGATTTATGAATATATTTTATAGATTCTCCGACGTTCTCTTCTAGGTGTTACAAACTTCGTGACAAACTTAATATACCCTGTTCAGGGTATAAATATATAGAGAATATATAAAGTGTAGCTTTCTTTGCCATTTATCTGCGCGCTATCTGTGCACGTTGCTCTCATGTAAACAAATGTACATGCAAAAGCAGTAACAACTGTTGAGTTGAACTGATACAAGAGAGTATGCGGAACATCGCTTTCTTCAATGATACCAAGTTTCTTCAATAAAGGAGAAAACGACAGCCAGGCGTTTGAAATTTTAAATAGTGTTTGTGGTCCTAATATTTTTATAGCCAATCATGCACAATCGGTAAGAACTCTTTCTATTGCCTAATAGCTCGAAGCTCGATGTATGGATGTCACACCAGTTGACGTAAAAGAACCTGATGGATCCAATTTCCATCTAGGAATCGATGAGGAATAGCAACAAAATCAATCCATTTATGAAGCGAATGGTTACTGGTGAAATAAAGTAACGTTGCCGATCAAAAGAAAATGGTCGTGGTTGAATCGCCCTGAGTCGGCGCAAATGGTGACCAAGTTAAAATGACTGTGAGGATGGTTTTACTATGTGTTTGGTGAGATTGGCAGAGAATCATCTATTATGAGATGTATTATGAGCTGTACTGTAAACAATTAGACTATTTGAAGGCAGCTTTGGCTAATAGAAGAGGAATTATATTCCATAATGACAATGCCATGCGTTAGAGGTTCTTATGCATTAATCTGATAGCTTGAACCTAGTACCAAGTAATAACTGTATGTTCCTGTCTATGGCGAATGATTTTGCTGCTGAAAAATTGGCCTGAAGAGGGGCTTGTAAACGACTGACGAAAGTTTCTCTGTGAGTGACATCGCCTTCAAAGTGGCAACAAGTTATCGAAGAAAACGATGCATATTTGGAACATTATAATCTAAGATTATAAGCCATTAAATTTAATGCAAAAAATTATTACTTTTTACTTATTTAAAACATTAATTTTTTTTAATACTATTCGGCTGTTTTTTGGATAAATCATATATAATAACGATCGATATTAAAAAAAAAATTTTTGTTTGTTGTAAATGGTAAAAATAAATCTCGGAAGTTCTAGATGTTACAAATAACCGTTAGACGAACTATTATACTGTATATTTACTAATTTCACAAATTGTATCGAACGGATAGAAGATCGCAAAATCGGTACAAAAAGTCAAAATCGATTTTAACAGATGTTAAAATAAAGCAACGGTACAAAATCCGTGTTATTTCGGCTTCTCCGTTTTAAATCAAGAGATGAAGATGGTTTAATTATTAGTATACAAATAATGACAAGGCAACCACCAAGTCACGTTTTCCTGATGTTTAATTGAAAGCGATATATTCGGGTGTAAGATCTGAAACTTTTATTTGTTATGAAATGGGAAAACCAAGAGGTACTGTACAAGTACAACGTACAGCTTGCACTGACGGACGGTCGGACAGACGGACGTACAGACAGACAATCACCCGGATTTCAACTCGATTCGTTATCCTGTTCATTTATATTACACTACACCATAACTCTATATCTATTTTAAAAAGTTTTAGGTGATACAAACAATCATTAGGTGAACCAAACTATTATACTATGTAACAACATGTTGCAAGAGTATAAAAACCAAGAGGTATCCAAAGCTCTAGAATAAATGTTTTACTTTATCACCGAGGCGGAGCTCGAGTGCTATGGTATTATATGAATGTAAATATGTACAAATGTATGTAGATCAACAAACATTTTTTTTATCATTTAATGAAATGGTGAATGAAAACACGTGCGAAGTGACAGCACTTACACATAGATATACACACTGGCGAGTTCAATTTCTTTGCCGCTTTTTCACTTTTACCAACGAAAGCTCAAATGAGTTCCTACAAAAAACAAAAGGCAAATAGAACAAAGAAAATGCGAATCACAAAGTCAACACAAATGTAACAAAATAGGTAGTATGTGTGGATGTATATTCTAACAATAACAACAATAATAATTTCCAATGCACTTTCGTCACACGACACCGAAGCTCGCACTAGTGCTGCGTCTGACAGCACACATACACATATGTACATATATAGGTGCATAAATGGTATGCAGGTAAATGTGCCGAAGCGGATTCGGCACAACTCGTAAGGTACTTACAATTCAAAGCAAAGACTATACTAAAAATAAGAGCAAAAAAAACCAAAACAAGCAAATGCAATATCGTTGCAAAAGTTCTAACGCTTACGCGACGCAGATGTAAATTTTATATACGTCCATTGCATGCGGAGAACTGCAGTTACTGCTGCTATGGGCCAATGCGATCATTACAGTCACTACACCTAACGACGACCGAAAGCAATTAGCACGATTGCTGCTTGAGCATACGTGGGCTACTTTGCTTGGCTTTTGGCTCTCGCCAGCAATTGAAACCATCGTGCCGTTGTGAGATGAATTTGCTGCCATTTTCGACATTTCGACCGCCACCATCCCCCTTTGGTTTTGCCCTTATGTCAGTTGCGAACTTTTTCCCTTAGCCATTGTGCTTTTGCGTTTGTTAAGACTTACAGTAAATGCAACGCGTAGTTATTTGATTCATGGTGACGTCATATTTTGCATTCTCTCAAGCTTTTGAGACGGCGGTCGCAACAAAGGGGTGCACACAATATACTCGCAACTTTTGCTGTGCAGCGCAAGTGTTTGCTTGCACGTAGAAACACCTACATACCTCTAACTGCAGTTGAACGCCGACAGTGACTTAAGCATTGCACTGTGGGGCGATGTGTGATAAATCTAAGGTAAAAATAAACACCTTTTGTTTACTTTAATTCGCTAATAGTTTCTTCATAAAGGTACAAGTTTACAACCCTTCCAGATAAACAATTGTGTGATATATCCATTTTCTTTAATCATGTTAAAAATGTTAATTGATGTCCATATTAAGTGTTTTGTTCTTATGGTTAAAGTACAGCACTCAGTTGCTCACGGATCAAACTCTTCTACACTTGGTCAAAAAATACAAAATACGACGAACTGAGTTCATTTAGCCATGTCCGTCCATCCGTTTGTTTGTATATAAGCGAACTAGTTCCTAGTTTTTGAGAAATCGATCTGAAATTTTGCACACATCCGTTTCTTGCCAAGAATCTGCTCATTTATCCGAACCGCCGATATAGTTGCCATACAAACTCCATGGAAACTCTTATATTTGTATACGGTATTATTTTCTTGTTTTTCTTTTTTTCGCACCTTTTAAATACATACAGTCGATATTTGTGGTCCGTTACGATCTTATAAACCACTTTTGCAAACCACGACGAATGTCTTAAACATTTTCTTGTTCAGCAAATGTCAAACTATGCGGTGGGCAATGCGAACAATGCCTTTGCCAGCAAATTATTCAATAACTATTGATTGCATTGTAGTTGAACCAAACACAATATCCCGATTTGCTATATAACCTTGCTAAAATACAAGGGATTATTAACGGTCTTAACGAAATTTATTTTATATCGAAATTTGACCAAGTTTAAAACTTTCTGTTGTCAAAAATGATAAATTTAAACCACTCAGATTAGACTTGTTCAGTTCAGTTTAAGATTGACATATGTACAATCACACATTTTTACATCCTGATGCAGCCAAGGTGTTAAAAAATCGTTTGTTTGAAAATTGTGAATACTGCTAACCCTTTAAGCGGTCTCTTTGCCAGAGCTTTAAAAAGAAATTTTCGTAAATAACACAAAATTACACAAAATCCGATAGTCAATTGGGCTAGTAAATGTATGAGCATACAAACAGCGTATGGACATATTTTGGCCTTCAAATCAATGCCAATGAATTATTATTAGCGTTCACATGTTCCTCCATGCGTTCACACTGTGCCACTATTTTGGCTTACGGCGCGTTCATCGTGCTGACTGAATGGTGCCGCTGTTGTCGTTGCATTTGCGTTTGCTGTTGCCATTTGAGATTGCAGTAGTAGTCGTCGTTGTTGGGGCGCCGCTGTCGCCAATGCAGCTTTTTCAGTTTTCGCTTAACGCTCGTTCAGTCAAGTTGATTTTGCTGCACCGTCGTTCACTATTTAATTCGCGTCGCATACAAATACAAACAAACACTGCAAAAACATATATACACATACACACTCATACACGTGCATTCAATTATTATCTGTGCCGCACCGCACCGCACCGCGCCACACATTGCACACCAAATGCAAACGAGGGCAGCCGTCGTCTGAGTGGCTTCAATTGGTGTACTATATTGTGGTATTAAGGCGATAACAGGTGCGACACAGGGCGCGCGAATACGGTGCGCGAGCGGTCAGTGTACATTTGGCGGACGGGTGTCATCATCAGCAACATCAGGCGTCGTCAACGCACACGTCGTCGTCGTCCGCCGTTTGTACGCCAGCGACGCGCATCTAGTGTTGCGACGTCGACTGTCAGCATGGCGCGCAAGGATGATCCCGTCCTGAATGTGCGCTTTGTGCAATTGGTCGAAAACCATCCGTGCCTTTGGAACTCAACGCTGCCAGCATACAGCAAGAAGGACGAAACCCAAAAGGCCTGGCAGGAGGTGGCCAATGAGACAAAAGATAATGGTATGTAAGCATTGTTTGCCTGCTGGCTGGCGCCGTCGCAGCTGCTCCCATTTCGTCTTTATTGCTAATAACCATAATTGTTGTTAGTGCTAACATTGTGGTTTCTATTATTTTTGTTGTACATACATATGTACGAACGTACAAGCACACACATGTATGCACTATTGCTATTATAATAATTTGCGTTTGCATTTTGTTTCTATTGTTGTTAATGTAATGCATTTTTTCTCGTTTGTTGTAGTTGTCTTATTTGTGTGTGCATGCGGCGGAGCTTTCGCATTTGCTATGTAGTAATAGTGAGCTAGTAGCCAGAGCTCACTAGAGTCACAGAGCGCAGCGTAGAATTGCGTGCCGTTCGTTCTTCAAAGTTTTCGCATTCGCGATGCAAGCGCTATACTGCGCTGCACTTCTATGCTCGTCACTCGTGTCGCGCACACCTCACCCCACCACAGCGCGCACACCGCAACAACGGCTGACGTACGCAACTTGATGATTGTCGCCCGCCTGTGTAGGCAATACAGACACACACACATGTTGGTCAGTTGGCAATGGCAGCGCCCTCAATGCGCTCAGTTACGTTGCCCAGAGCTGCGCCCCCAACTTCTTATAAAGTTGTTATTGTGAAATTTTTTGTCGTTTTTTAGATTTTCGCAAGCTTGTGTGTATGGCGGAGTGCGTGTGTCTACGACTGGGGCGTCACAACGTGTCGCTTCGTCAGCCGCCAGTCAATCGGTTTGTTTACTTGTTGCCGTGTTTTGCTGCATTCGCATGTGCGCCATGGTGTGCGCTATGGCGAGACGAGACGCGAAGCAGAGTGCGACAATGTTGGCACGCCAGCTGCAATTGCTGCAGAAGCTTTGCTTGCCTCTATCATGTATGGCATTCTCTGCGCTCGGAGCTTTTGACATGCAATATAGTTTGTATGTATGCACGTGCCCATAACCGCACTCGTACAATCGTCTATTGCCTCATGTGATTTCCACAGTCACTACTCTAACTGTGACTCTCTGGCGCTCTCTGTTTGCAGTTGTTCTCAGCCGTTTCCCTACACTTGGGGCTCATATTGCGCTGTTTGCGATTAACGTTTGTGCACGAGCATTTAATATGCTTTTAATTTATTGCTATTTTTTGTTGCGGTTACAAGAACCTCTATGAGTTTATTTGCATTGCGCAAAACGCGTTTACCGATATTCAGTAGAACAACAGTATTCAATGCTCTCAAATATGTCAAGTTTTTAAAATTTTGTAATTTACTGCTTTCTTTCTTTCATTCAATTCAAAATTGAGCTGTAGCTGGTATTAAAAGCACACATCTGTATAATTACATATGTACATACGCATTAGATTTTTAGTGGGCATTCTTTGAATCACTGCGCCGATAATAGTTTTTACATTTCCTGCTCTTTTTATCGCATGTTTTATAGCTGACCTCAGCGCGAAAGTTCTTACGATCGGAATTTTCATAAACTGTGAAATTATAACTGTACTCATGTATATACCTACAAAAGCCTATGTAGTAAAAGCTCCATGTTAAGCGCAACACTTAATCCCCTTCGTTTCACGCTTAATGATTTTTACGCTGACACCATGTTGCATGGGCATGGGTATGATAGGACGACGAGATGTATGCTTGTCTAGTTGTCAGTTCCAACGGCGAAATATACACATTCACCGACGGATCATAGGGGGAAATATGAACAGGAGCCTGCCTTTTCTGTAGTAGTCCATAGGCAGAAAATTACTTCAAACTAAATGACAACAATTCAGTCTCTCAGACCAAAATAGTTGTCAAGTGGCCTGCTGCATTAACCTGCAAGTACATAAACCTTCTAGTGGACGGCCAAGCGTGCCTGCAATAAGTCTCACTGCGTTAGGTTATGCAAGCAGGCAATAACTAGATTCTTAGTAGGTAACTCGGTTAATATCATCTGGATACCCAGTCATATAGGAATTGAAGGAAACGAAAAAGCAGACGAGTTGACTCATTCGGGGGCAGTTAGGAACACACTTCCCCTTAACTGTCCTAGGCCATTCAGCTCTTTCAAAGGTAGTTTGAAGCTCAGGTCCTGGAATACTAGCAACACAGGGTATACCACAAAGTTACCTTTTAGTAGTGTTGATTAGGGACAGACCAAAAAGCTTCTTCTTCTAGGCCAAAGGGAATTACCCTTAAGATCCCACCTTCGGAAAATTGGAAAAGTGGCTTCGGCGGAATGCACAGCTTACGCGAGGTTGATGAAACGCTGGAACATTAGATAAAATAAAAGAACTGCTGTAATATTGGTATGAAATTAAAAAAATTTAAGAGATGATGTTATTCAATTAAATTGCTAGAATTAATGAAATATTGCAACATAGAAATCAAGCTAAGCGAGTTTAAAAAATATTTGAGTAGTAAACACTTATGGGAAAGGTTAACACCAGTAACGTATTTATCATGCTTCTTATTCAGTGTTTATTATTTACAGTTTTAACAATATATGTAATCTTTGTTTCTCAAGGATCTCCCACGAAAAGATTATGATGTGTAATTTTAAACATAGTCTTATTCTATACATAATCTTCTTACAAACATACTTAAAGCAATGTGTACCTAAAATCTTATATCATAAAAAAAATATATTTACTTTTATCCTAAACATCATATTTTTATCAGTAGTATCAACTCTTGGTGACATTAACGATATTCTTTCGCTTTTTAGTGTGGTTTTCGGAGATTATATAATACTTTTGGGTCCTTAAATTTAGTTTTTCTCTATCTTCTATGATTTTGAAAACGAAAAAAAATAAATTACTTCTTTTCAAACTTGCAATTTAGTAGGTTCTGTAAAAATGCTTGCTCTACCATAAAGTACTTCATTTTAATTTATTCAAGATTGGAAAGAATTACGTCATAAACGAAAGCAAAAGAGAAGGCAAGACTTTCCAAATTTGTCAGGGGTATTTGGCAGGCTATGTCCTCCAATTCTGATCACGAGCTGTAATGCAACAGATTCCAATCTGGACTTCCAGACGCCAATCTCAGCAGCTATGAAACCAGAAATATTAATTCTAAGGCACTGTTGGATGGCTTTTGCTTTGTGTGCTGGAGCAGAAACTTACTAGAAGATTAAATGCTCTCCACCGAAGAGACTTTTTACAATGCGTTTTGAAATTTTATGCTGGTACACTTTTGGCCCAGTTTTAACCCATTTTTTACTGAAGTGAAAGTGGTGTAACGGGTTTACAGAAGACTTCTCACCAAGTTATTACAGCAGCTGTATTTTGACCACGTTGAACCCTTGGAATAACAGTTTTTGCGTAGATTTTGTCGGATTGCTGATTTAAAACTACTTCAACATTGAAATTTTTTTCATTTGTAAAAAGAATATTTTCATGGTCGTTTACCGCGTGCCACTGTAGAAGCCGCTTGCATCTGTTGTGCCTAATTTGCGCAATGCGCGTTGTTAATCAGATTACCACTAGACCGATGCAGAATTCGTAGCTCAATTCATGCAAATTTATCCTCGCTTTAAATAATTTTTGATACGGTGAATTGCCTTAATGAAAGAACATTCCAATAACAAAATAGATATTTCGAGATAGTCGTTAAAAATTATTACATACATACGTATGCTCTCAAGATATTGAGTGTTGCCATTTCATAAAAACGACACAAACTTTTCAGTATTGTTATCGGCTCCGTCTAAGTCTTTTTATAATAAATTTCTGTTATTTGCGACTGGGTCTTCTTTAGTAGTAAGTACCTTTACACACTAGAAATGTTAATCTTCAATAGCTTATTTTTCAGAATCAAAGTCATTAGTTCCAAATAGTGTATTTATTGAAAGGATGAAACTTTATATTTTCCGGCTAACGGCAACTTATTTCAACTATTTCGCTGAGCAAAACGTTACAGAGTAAAGTTACTATATTTGAAAATCGCGTTGTAGACAATTTGAAGAAGTTCAGACTTACTGTGGAAACAATCTATATTATGTAGTTAATTTACGACTGATTTAGGAGTTAAAGGAGGAATTTATTTACTTGTTAGTTTTATTTTGAATTGTTTTTAACGAGCTAGTCACACCAAAAAATTTGCAAATATTGAATTTTCACACGTTTTGTTGTTTTAATTGGAACAAAAGCCCATATGATTTTTGACCCTGTTTGGTTGTATATTTGATTTGAGTTTATTGACTTTATAAATAAATATCTAACAGTTCATCCAATATTTCTCTTGCTTGCAGTACGAAATTGTCGCGAGAGATGGCGTACGATCCGGAGTAGTTTCCTGCGATCGTTGAAATTATCACGCACTAGTACCGGACGAGGCAAACGCAAGTATTACCTCTCCAAATATCTACAATTCTTGATACCCTACACAAAGACGCGCCTAAAGAATGTCAATGCGACACCAAGCATAATTGCGCAGCGCAAAATGACACCGCAACCGCCCATGACGCGCATTAATCACATACCATTGCCCATAGTCAGCAGTGATGACACCAAAGATTCCAACGGCACGGAGGTAGCAATAGCTGAAGAGGACGTTGTGGTTTCGCTACACGAAGGAACAGCAACCGCGACGCAGCAACAACGCATAACAGTGCAGCCACCAATGACAGCACCGTGCGCCATACCAGTACCAGTCGTCATGCCGGCACCGACCGCCATCAAAACGGAGCAGGGTGCCACAACGCCGGAACATGGACGATGTACAGCGACGGCCGTCAACAGCATGAATGCGTGTGCCATTGGCGGTGGCGTCAAGAATAACAGCGGTAATGCGGCAAACAGTAGTGCTTTTGCTGCAGCAACGGATACGCAACCGACTCCGCGTAGCGCATCCGCCGTCGATCTGACGGAGTTTGCCGAGTGGATTAAAAGTAAAAATGAACATCATCGCCAATGTTTAATGCCCTCCTCACCTGATGCTGATCAATCATTTCTCAACAGCTTGCATCCATTTCTGAAGGAAATGTCCGGGAAACAGAATCGCCGCTTCCGGCAGAAGGTAGTAGCGCTGATTGATGCCATTCTGGATAATGCCGACTGAGGCGTACACACATACACATGCGATGCGTAACGTATAGCCGCAAATACAATGCTGATGAAGGTGATGTGAATGTTGACCGTGGTAGTGCTGGATGTGCGGAACCAGGGAAAGTGAACGTGAACGGGAACAAGAATGCAGCAGTGATAGAAAACGGTGTGGTCCGATGTGGAAATTAGATGTAAATGCTTTATTTCTAATATCGAGGACTACAACTAAACTAAAGTAAACCTTACGCACATGAACACACTATTACCTAGCGCTTTAACGCACACAACCTACATACATACAGTTAGACACTAATACATACATTATACTATACCTGCATGCACACCAAATATGTGTGCAGTGAATATCTGTTGATTTTTATTAGAGAAAAATATTTTTTGTTTCCAGTGGAATTGAAATAAATGCTTTATTTTTTGTACTATTTGTCTTTTGAAACTTTATACCGAGTAGTATGGAAAATTGTAAATGTCGAGGAAGGATCCTACGATTTTTGAGCTCTCATACGCGACTCCACCTGTATTAAAAACAAGAAAGCACACACGTTAACTTTGGTTGCACCGAAGCTAGAATACCCTTCACAGAATAAGAGTTTTCCATACAAAAGCTTGATTTTGATTGGCAGTTTATATGGTAGATATAAGTAAGTTGTAGTACTCCGATAGCTCGTCTCCGACTCAGCTCGTCACGATGACCATTAATATTTATATATATTTAATAGGGTCTCCGACATTTCCTTCTGGGTGTTACAAACATCGTGGCAAACTTATTATTATCAGCAAATCAATCAGCGTATAATTAAACAAAAATAGTAAAATGTATTTCTTCAAAAAGAGTTTTCTGTTAAACACGAAAGAGGACGAAGCTGTAAATGGTGGTGACTGTTCAATTTTCAATTCTTTCATCAAAAAGTACCACAGGTTAACTCTTTGAACAATCAATATGAGTATGTGAGTGATTACAAAACACCAACTTCAGTTTCAATCGTTTCATCACAAAAAAGGGCTTAAACCATTTTGTGACCAATTAAATTTCTCGTCGCTATTGTTACCACTCAGTCTCGATAAGATAATTGGTGCTCGACAATGTTTTTATACAAAATAATGTATGCTCAAATATGAACTGTGTGCTAATACATTGTAAATAAATTATTGCAGTAAATCTTCCAAAAAAATAAGACGTTATTTACCATTCGTAAAGTATAAAAAACAATGAGAGCTAAGATTGCGACAGTTTTCGTGATATCACCACACACGAACTGTCAAACTCCTATAGTAATTGTGAGCAAAACCCAAGATTGACAGAAATATATTTGATGATGCAGTTGGTTCAAATTCTTTGGTTTTATCCTTGAATTGAATTTATTTTTAAATCCTTATTTCCATTTTACATTACAAAAATCGAAAAATATGAAACATAATTAGAGATATATTTATTATTTCGAGTTTTTCGAAAACATACATATGTATGCAACATTCAATAAAACTTTTTTTTTTTAGCATACCGTTTATAATTTCCAGATAATAATATCTTTTTAAGGACCAATAGTAATCTGCCATAATATGACGATCCCATCAACTATGATGCCTTTCTTTCATCACTTATACATTTTGCTGAAGCCCCAAATGATTGTGGAAATAGTCCACCTTGGTACTCATATTTCCTCCGTGAGTATGAAATTTTGTCAGTAGATTTTGTACATTTTATTTTTAATTTGGTACTTTATGGTCATCATCAAATAATCCACTTTTAAGCTTTTACATACTATATACATCCAGAAATTGACTACAAATGTATTTAACACAATATCCTTCCAGGTCCACTTCTTTATAATTCCTCACGATCATTGATTACGTATATATGTACGGCTGGCAACTAATTAATTGCGGATTTTTTTTTTTAAATCAAAGACAATTTTTCATGGAAATAATAACCTTTTTCTGTAATGTATTGCCCATTTTGATCAATGACCTTTTGCCATCTTTCAGGCAGCATCATAATCCCACGTTCATAAAACTTCTGGTTTTTATTAGCAAAAAACTGAATCAGGTACGAGGAGTTTTGTAAAGATCGAAACAACAAGTAATCCGATGGTGCAAGGTCAGGACTATATGGTGGATGTGGCAAAACATCCCAACCAAGCTCCAATAATTTTTGCCGAGCGACCAAAGATGTGTTTGGCCTTCCATTGTCATGATGGAA